GAATATATGATCAAGATCTAAGGATGAAGTATCACTCCGTAACACAGCTTTGTTTCTTGCTTGGGAATCCCACACATACATGTACAATATGAACTCATGGAAAGCAAAAGGCACTTGCTGTAACATCCTGCACAACTGAATTATCTATTTTTTTAATAGAGAGTGGGTTGGGCTCCCACTGGCAACTGGTGATCCTTCTGCATCTAGGGACTGTTCTGCTTGTCCTTTCTATTCCATTTGAAAAACAATATGCATCTGATAACTGTTAAAGTGGTAGTATATCAGGGAATCTGTGTAGTTGACACATTAATTGTGGCTTTTAAACACCTACATTATTCTCATAAACCTGCAACTGCCCTTGACCCTGTACATAATCAGACACACATCTAATTATGCACTGAAATTCAGTCTGATTTTTATTCTAAGCCCTTAGTAAAAAAAAAAATAAGATATCACTTAAGATTCTGTGTAGAAAATGCAAATGTGTTTCCAGATGCTGATCAGATGAAAGTTCAAAAGGTATGTCTGAAGATACAGTGAAATCCATATTAGAAATACTCCCAGCATCTTCATTAGCTCCAACAGCGATCCAGGGAAGCTGTTGCTCTAGTAATTCTGGATTCAATCCAAATCCAACTGAAGAGGGAATGGGTTTATCTCAATGGTTGTCAGCCAGTCATAGACTAAGATAAAGATCACTGTTAGTCAAGCCACAGAACTTGCTCTGATCTAAGCAAAAGCATGATGTACCGACAATGCTTTGACTGTCTGGTACAAGGAATTAATTCTGTGCCAAGAGGAAGAGGGTGTTAAAATGGGGGAAAGCTCACAGCATAACTATAAGTGCTACTCAGTTCATTTGGGCTCCCTCCCAGGCACATGGGGTTAGGATTGCAGCTTCACTTTATGACTGATTTAATCCCTTCCAGAGGAACACTAAATGTAGATATGGAAAATCCTTCACCCTTAATTACTGAGCACTAGCTCACACCTAGCTTTTCCATGCTTTTCCTAATATCTGTTTTTCTCAACCATTTGATACCCTTGCCACCATTCATTCTCTTTCTCACTCTACCCACCAGCTATGGTTAAGCAAAGGACAAAGAGCAGAGTTCCAAATACACTGCAAAAATAAATTTGATTATATATATATTTTTAAAAAAATTATCAGTACTAACAGATGGTGATAGTTTTATGTGTGGTTACTTAAAAGACCTAGCTGGCTAACTGTTACAGTGCCTTTGAACAGGAATGTACAAACAAGCAGGCTACTGTTAATTCCAAATGGTATGTCTAAGGATAACACAGGGTCGCTGTCACTTTGAGAGCTGTGTGAGCATCAGTTCATCACTGTTTCTGAATCTTAAGCCAATTTCCCAGTAACACTTCTCCAGAGTTAACACTCACCAGCTAGGCACCGAGTATTTTATCTAAAGTTTCCAGCCAGATCTACCATCTCTTCTCCCTCATGATTTTCCCTGCAGTTTTTCTCCTGGTCCATCAACTACTTTTTCCTCAGATCACCAGAAATCATACTGACACCTAGCAATAGAACTCTCATGAAGGTTGCTTCTACAGCCAGAAGTTATTCTCTTCAGCTGTAGTCTTGTCAGCTCCCTTTTACCCAAGCCCCTTAATATTGTTGCACACCACCCTAGTTGCCAAGTGATGTGAGACTCCATGGGTCCAGGTTTGTGTTTTGCACATGAGGCGCAGTGGAGATTGTTGTGTCTTTATGATATATGGTTTATTTACATACATATATAGCCTGAGTCTATGATGGAGAGATTCCCACCATTACACTCCAAAAGGGTCTCTTGCATCTTTCCCAAAGGTGCAACTGCCTTGGTTCCGAAACAAAAATCAGTCATGCTCCCTAGCTTTTGTTTTTGGTCAGCACATCATTGCCAACAGCAGTCCTAAAAAACTCTGGCCTATTGTCTCCAGCTAACTACCTCTCTTGAAGAAGGATAGCCTCACACTCCTCTGCTGTCTGGCACGGAGCAACTGCTTTGTTAATCACCCATCTCCTTGCCCCTTTGTTTGCATAAAGAACTTTCAGGCTATGTTCCTCTAATGATTTATTTTTTTTAACTCAAGCACTGAATCCTGGGGTTCAGTGCTTGGCACAATTTACCTCCCCAAACCTTGATTAATTCTAACTTAGATTGGACCCAGGAATTTAGGGTTTCTCACATCCCACAAGCTCATAACAATATTGACTGTCAGACTCCAACTTCCAGCTTTGCCTTCAACTAAGCAACACCTGCACAGCTTTACCAGAGGCTAGCTTTTTATCATCTCCAGCCAGCCTCCCCTGAATCCCCAGCCAATCATTTAAATCTGAGTGGAATCCTGCCGCCTCATTGGCCTGTAGTGATGACCAGATGGGATGGAGCAGAATGTCCACAACTGACCAATTAGAATTTACTGGCTACCGATGCCTTCGCTCCTTTATATAAACACATAATCACCTCTTGTTTGGAGCAATGTAAACAGCTCGAGTTTCTCTGTCACTCAGCTGACCTCCTGGCCTACAGCTAATACAGTACATCCCCACATCTCACAGCAGGCAGGCAAGACAGTTTGTATAACTGTTAATGTTTATGTTCTATTCAGCATAAAATAGAACATAAAACCATTGCTTTTTAAAAAGGAAAATAAAATAAAAAGAAGGTGCCAGTACTCACCATGAAGTTGTTATAGTAAGTGCCACACTTTTAACATGGGGGGAGGCAGTTCTGCACACCTTTGAGTAACCCCAGAAAAAAATCACTAAAAGAAACGATAGTGTTTCTGAGTGGGGAATCATTAAGTATGTTTTAAGCAAATATAGTTTCTACACACAGGAAGAAGATTTGGTATAAATATTGCAGGTATTGTGTTAGCTTTTGCACCTACCTCCAGAACTATGAGGGTGCAGTGCACTGTTGAGAATGGTCTGCAGTCTTAGCTGCAATTGATAGAGAAATTGTATATTCATCCATTAAACAAGCTCCAAGCATACTAATTCTGCTTGTGTACCTTTCAGAATCCTCCCCCCCCACCTGCATCAAAGTAACAGGACAAAATATGTAAGAAGAATAAGTAACTTGGGCTCTTTGTCTGGAAAAGCAAGATGGTGGTGATAAAGAATGTGGTTTATTGAATATCTATCATCTATCTATCTATCTATCATCTATCTATATCTGGATATATATATCCAGGTACTCCTGGAATTGTCCAAACAGATAAAACCCCACTGTATTGGTCTTATCTGTTTGTGGGAATGGGTAAACAGGCATAAATTCCAATGGTGTTTAACTTGAGAAACATATAGTGGGTCCAGGATTGCAGCCTGTATACTGCAGCTGTATAATTTTCTCCCACAGCATGTTCAGCTGATCCCATTACTTTTTAGTTTCCACCATGTAGTAAATATACATTTCTTTAAGCAGGGTTTTTTTTTTTATTAGCTTTGGCTTTTATGCCAACACTAAAGTTTAATTGTATGCCCCACTGTTTCACACCCCACCTTGTGTTAAAAGACAGAATACAAGTTTTTCAATTCCATATATAAATATTTTATTTTATTTTTAAAATGCAGGATTCTTTTGTGTGTATAACACACACATACATCAACACACTAAATTCTAACCATGTTTATTCAGAAATCAACCTTGTTGCTTTCAGTGAAATTGATTTCTAGGTTAGCATGCTTAGAATTATAGCACACAAGCTGTCGGTTAAAATTTGGTACTCCTACATAACATATATTATATTCTATTTTCCTTGTAGGTCAGGGCACTCAAGTACTTGTAATTAACTTAACATGATTTTTTTTTTACATTAATTAAAATATAGTTGCTCAAAAATAATTAAAAAGATGAATCACTCAGCATATCAACATCAGATCAAACATAGGAATTAGAGAAACCCATAAGCACTGAAACAATACAGTAGAATTTTTCATCAAGTAGCAGAAACCAAACATAAGAAATTCTGGATCTTATTACACTTTCTCCCAACCTTTTCTGTCTTCAGGGGAGGAGAAGGGGAGGTGCAACTGCATTTCTCCAGTTGCGGAATCACCCTTAGATTATATCTCTGGGGGAAAATATTATGCTAGTTATGCAGGAGAAGAAAATCTGTAAGTTGCCCACCACAAGGCTGGCTCTATGATTAATACTAGCATAACTGAAGGAGGGGGCTGAGAACAATGACAATGTGTTGGAGGACAGAGTTGTGTATGCCGCATGGCTGCCCTAAACCCTCTAAGCTTGCCTGCTGTCCCCAGGTGTGATGGAGGGCACTGTTCCATCACCAATGTTGATCTAATATTCATCTGCCAGGACAGTCGTACCTTGGTTGTCAAACGCCTTGGTGCGTTTTGACACAGCAAACCCGGAAGTAAGTGTTCCAGTTTGCGGATGTTCTTTGGAACCCGAACGTCTGACACTGCTTCCACTGGTTCCAATTGAGTGCAGGAAACTCCTGCAGCCAATGGGAAGCTGCGCCTTGGTTTTCAAACATTTTCGGAAGTCGGGCGGACTTCCGGAATGGATTCCATTCGAGAACCAAGGTACGAGTGTACTTACATCTTGTATGCATGGGATGGAGTGGGCATGGTGCCATCTTATTCTTTGCCTCAGGCAGTAAAATGTCTTGGGATAGCTCTGCCTGGCAAGCAGAAGAACAACTCCCAACTAGGTTTTTGCCAAAGCCTATAGTAGTCAGAACCAACATGAGTCTGACCAAACTACTGGAGGCAGTGGAAGACAGGAGTGACTGGCGTGCTCTGGTCCATGGGGTCACAAAGAGTCGGACACAACTAAACAACAACAAGTAGTAGTCAGAAGCCCATTCTGAAATTGCTAAGAAGCCACAAAATACAGTGGTGCCCCGCAAGACGAACGCCTCGCAAGACGAAAAACCCGCTAGACGAAAGGGTTTTCCGTTTTGGAGGCGCTTCGCAAAACGAATTTCCCTATGGGCTTGCTTCGCAAGACGAAAGCCCATAGGAAATCTCCGGTCCGCGAAGCCTGGGCGCGCTGATCTCAGCGCGCGCAGGCTTCGGCATGCCGGCAACTCTCCGCGAGCAGCGGCAGCGCTGCCGCTGCTCGCGGAGAGGTCCGCGAGCCTGGGCGCGCTGATCTCAGCGCGCGCAGGCTTCGGCATGCCGGCAACTCTCCGCGAGCAGCGGCAGCGCTGCCGCTGCTCGCGGAGAGGTCCGCGGAGCCTGGGCGCGCTGATCTCAGCGCGCGCAGGCTTCGGCATGCCGGCAACTCTCCGCGAGCAGCGGCAGCGCTGCCGCTGCTCGCGGAGAGGTCCGCGGAGCCTGGGCGCGCTGATCTCAGCGCGCGCAGGCTTCGGCATGCCGGCAACTCTCCGCGAGCAGCGGCAGCGCTGCCGCTGCTCGCGGAGAGGTCCGCGAAGCCTGGGCGCGCTGATCTCAGCGCGCGCAGGCTTCGGCATGCCGGCAACTCTCCGCGAGCAGCGGCAGCGCCTGCCGCTGCTCGCGGAGAGGTCCGCGGAGCCTGGGCGCGCTGATCTCAGCGCGCGCAGGCTTCGGCATGCCGGCAACTCTCCGCGAGCAGCGGCAGCGCTGCCGCTGCTCGCGGAGAGGTCCGCTGACGCCTGGGCGCGCGGATCTCAGCGCGCGCCGGCTTCGGCATGCCGGCAACTCGCCGCCAGCAGCGGCAGCGCGGCCGCTGCTCGCGGAGAGGTCCGCGAAGCCTGGGCGCGCTGATCTCAGCGCGCGCAGGCTTCGGCATGCCGGCAACTCTCCGCAAGCAGCGGCAGTGCTGCCGCTGCTTGCGGAGAGGTCCGCGAGCCTTGGCTGGACAGCTTTTGAAGGCAGGTGGGGGACAAAGACTTTCGCCCGCCAACCTTCAGAAGAGGTCCAGGACCTCTTCTGAAGGCTGGCGGGGGCAAAGTCTTGTCCCCCTGCCTGCCTTCCCAGGGGCTTTAATTGCCCCGGACAGCGGAGAAGTCCTCCGCTGTCCCGGGGCAATTTTAAATGCCGCCCGCCAGCATTTTAAGATCGCTCCGGACAGCGGAGAAGCCCTCCGCTGTCCCGGGGTTTTTTAAAATGCTGGGGGTGGGAAGAAAAGCCCTTGTCCCCCCCCCCCAGCCTTCAGAAGAGGTCGGGGGACAGACTGTCCCCGGACCTGGTCTGAAGTCGGTTTCCCTAGGAACGCATTAATTGATTTTCAATGCATTCCTATGGGAAACCGTGCATCGCAAGACGAAAAACTCGCAAGAAGAAAAAACTTGCGGAACGAATTAATTTCGTCTTGCGAGGCACCACTGTATTCATTTCCTGAGTGCCAGTTCCAGGATAGCACGGTGGTGAGTACGAGAAATTGTAACTAAATGACTTCATGTTTGCCCTTAATTGATTCACTAAACATAAGGTAGCAAAAGCAGCATGGATTTAAACTGGAGATTAGAGAAGCACATGAGAGCCTTGGTGGTGATGAAGGTGAACAGGGTCCAGGAGTTAGTGGACAGAATTTCCAGCTATATGTACCAGCTTGTGCAAATGAGGCCATTTTACAGCTTCACTCAAAAATTAAAGTTTTATATTCCGGGCCCTAAGAATACTTAGTTTGACCTTTCTCCCAAAGGTTTTCAGTCTCCTTACCAAGCAAGGTAATGTTCATTTCTATTCTAAGAGGATGAAAACATGGAGTAAAAATGATTCATTTTTCAAGAATAAAAGCTATGTTTCCAAATACTTCTATTTACTACACCAGGAAGAGAAGATAAAACATTTCTTCAAAGTATGCTTCAAAGTGGGAGAGAGAAAAATAGTTGGGGTCTTATTAGGGTCATCGTTACTAGAGCTTCTGCGGTTTCTTACTTTTTATAACTGACCTAGATTGTTAAAGTTGCTGATGACATAAAATTGGGACGAATACTGCACACATTGCAGGCAGTAAGTCAAATGTAAATGAATTCTGTTCTACTGTGTAACTAGGTTGACAAGTCGAAACTAAAATTTAATGTTGATAAATATCACATAATAGAAGTAGAATACAAAAACAACTTCAATAACTGCATGAATAGACTTGAATTAAAACAAAAACAAAAAAACCTGTTTGTTTGTTTTTAAACTAAGAAGATGGAGAATTTCTACATGAATGTGTTTGAGCAACATTAGAATGGATTTCAGAAACTGGTAGATTTGTGAATTTATTGCATAGCATCTATGATGGATGACATACCTGAGATTGCTATTTTAGTATAGGGAGTAATCTGCAAAATTCTCCTCCATTCTTAATGACAACTTATTACATCCTTTTTATTCCAACTTTCTTTTGTAGAACAACCAAGGTGATATAACAGATCTGGTACCACACTTTAAATAGTTTAAGCTGCCTTTCCATTAAAACCGGAACAGCTAAAAAATTTACTCTTTCAAACCACAAAACTCCAATAAAAAGTATAATAAGGTAAACAGCAGCTGTAGTCATAATGAAAGAGACCTCTGGTAAACAAGCACACTATCTTCACTTTTCATTAAAACAAAAGCAGAGAAATGCCTTGGAAGGATCTCCCTGAGCAGATAACTTTTCAGGGTGGGTGACACAGCAAAGAAGGCCCTGTTCAGTGTTCCAGCAAATAGTTCCAGAAACTTACTCATAGAAGGGGGTGAAGTATTTTGGGATGAAGCATTTTGCCCTTACCACCCACAGAGAAGAGTAACTTCTCCCAGCTCTCACCTGGGCTCTTCCCTTTCTCCTTTCTCCTTGGGAGACAGATATTTCCCTGCCTCTCACCCATGATCCTCCATCAACCATCTACCACCCCCATGAGTATACAATCTCTGGACCTTAATAAAGGCCCCAGTCATAGGACTCCAAATAAAGTAGAAGGAAAGGGACAATGAGACAGAGAAGAAAAAGAAATATTAGAAAAGGATACAAAAGGAAAAATTTGAATTTTCCATCTGCCAGTTACATAAAAAAGGATTGGTTAAAACATTCAGTCTAGGCTAACATCCATCTCCTCCACTTTCTGTTAAAGAATATTTCCCTTAAATCAAGTCAAGGTGCCTCAGAATCATTCATTTCTTTTTCCCCACGAAAAATCCAAGATGGGTTCTCTAATTGTTATCCTTGATAAATGTCAACCATATTGCACCTGCTCTTTTTTGTCCCAGAAGTGTTTCATAAGGAGAAGGTGCAGGTCTTTCCTACCTATTACATGGTGTTTGGACACAATGACAACTCCTCAACTTGCCAGTTCATTCTTACTCCTGTCCAAAGCTCCAGGCATAGAAAGCAGAAAAATCGGTTTTCATCAAAGCATTTGAGGAACACTCCCAGATCACCTTTATCTCCAGAGTGATTAATAATCACCATGTAATTATCTTCGGCCACCAGTAGCTAACAGAGAAAGAGGTGAACTGCCATTCCTCTCCGACCATTACCTCAGACACCCCAACGTTACAAGAAAGTTCAGGGGTGCCAGGCCTACACTGGCTCCCAGTATGTTTTGGAACACAATTCAAAGTGTTGATGCTGACCTTTAAAGCCCTAAACGGCCTTGGCCCAGTATACCTGAAGGAGCATCTCCACCCCCATCATTCAGCCTGGACGCAAAGGTCCAGAGCCGAGGCCCTTTTGGCAGTTCTCGCATCGCAAGAAGCGAAGTTACAGGGAACCAGGCAGAGGGCCTTCTCAGTAGTGGCACCCACCCTGTGGAACACCCTCCCATCAGATGTCAAGGAAATAAACAACTATCTGACTTTTTAATGTTTTTAATGTTTGAAGTTTTATTCTGTTTTTGTGTTCTGTTGGGAGCCGCCCAGAGTGGCAGGCAAACCCAGCCAGATGGGTGAGGTATAAATAATAAAATGATGATGATGATGATGATGCACCTTGAGATGTGTTTTCTTAGAATGAAGGTCAGTGGTGTCTGTGGTGCCATTGTGATTTGGTTCCATTTACACATATATACACAGGCTGAACATAAGGTGTAAGAGCTCACAGCATTAATACTCCCAAATACAATGAACCCTCATTAGGATTAGAGGGGGAGGCGAAGTCATAACTTTGGATACAGTACAGAGAGCAAGTCAAGCTTGATCTCTTTCCAGCCCAGTTCAAGTCAAGACTGCCCCCTGGTCTATTGTTCTTTTTCACTGACCAATGACATCATGTATTGCCAGGAAATATGTCCTGCTCCCTTTTTAGTCCACCTTCTGGAAACATTTCCAGAAGTTAGGATCAATATGATTCTGAACAAGTTTTCCAGGATTTATACTAAATGAAATATCCTACTTGCTTACTGAATAATTTGCACTTTAAAGGAACAGATGTGATGGAAGATTTCACCACTATGTTGTCAAGGAGGAAGGGGGGAACACCCAGGAAAAAACGCAAACATTTCAAATGCCCATATGACAGTTTGGTTTAATTATTTAAATTCTGAACTATTTTTTTATAATTTTTAATTAGACCATATGTTAACATCAGCATTAAATGTGATCAGCATTCATATGCTATGCCGTTCTTGAGCTGAAATTTTTGGAAAGAGAGAAACATTTGCGGAACTGTAAGAATCTGAGGTCAAATAAAACTCTTAATTAACACTTTACCATCTATAAATAAAAGGCACAGATGTGATGGTATGTGGTGTTGAAGTGAAAACCTTCTAACCTTTAAGCTGCTTATCAACAAATTAATGTTGGAAAGAGTGTTGGCAATAAAAATATACATAGGTTAATGATAAAAATGCTTGCTAAGTTGAGGAAAGTGCTAAACATGTGATTTTTCAAAGGGTATGCATTCTGATGACATTATTCTGCCCCTGTTGGTTCTTCATTTCTGACACCTCTTCTTTAAAATATCTGCCTAAAATGTGCCTCAGATTATATTATTGCTGAGAATCATAGCCTTAACTAAAATTTGCCTCCAAGCTGTCCACTTATATGACAAAACTAAAATTCAAAATTTGAACAGCATTATATAAAGTCAGCTGCGGACATGGGCAGGATATGAGTGAACTTGAGCTAGTTAGGGCCAAGCTGCAATAAAGTTGGCCATTTCTGTGTCCTGGCATAACACCTGCCAATCTGGTGATGGGCCAAGTTTTATCTGCTTGTTAAACAACTGCAAAGAGTGGAATCCTGCCCATCAATAAGTTAACAACACTGCGGTTGGGGCAAGGGCTCACCTAAAATGTGGCAATGGAGTTGTTAGCTTAGGGTATAGAACCCTGGGGGTGAAATTCAATGTTGAGCTATAGCAAATGTCCCATCAGCATGAGCATTGTAGCTTGCCAGATGGAATGATCCACTCTTTCCGCCCCACACAACATTATGGGGGTTCTTCTGAACCCATCCCCCATCAGCAGGTGCAAGGGGCCACAAGGGGAGAAGGGAGAAAGCCCCATTGCAGACGTGGAAGTCCTTGTGAAGGGCTTGCAGTGATGGGATTAGGTGAATCTCACCTAGGAAGTTCTGCCATTTTGGGCTAGTGATGAGAGATGCATTTATTCTTGCTTTCGCCAACCCAGAAACAATAGTGCTCACTAAAGATGCTATTAGGCATCCCTAACCTAACATGACTTTACATCTCACCACCTGAGATGTTTTAATTCTAATAACATCGGATTCAGTTTGCTTAAACATTGTCCAGGCCAATGTTTATTCTTCAAAATCTTCACTGTAGAAAGGCACACAATTATTCTTGTAACAAGTAGCCTAGCAGTTCTACAAAGTTCCCTAGTGGTCATGTT